ATTCCCACCAATTCCGGAATTGCGTGAACTACTTCTAATTACGGAATTACATGGAATTCCTACCGATTCCGGAATTATACGGAATTCCTACCGATTCCGGTATTGGACGGAATTCCTACCAATTCCGGAATTATACGGAATTCCTACCAATTCCGGAATTGGACGGAACTCGATCAATTTTCGAGTGGGTATCGAATATTATGTGTCGATCGAGTTCCCGGAATCGAACGGAATCGATTCCAGAGCGGAACTGGTTCCTGAAATGTTCAACATTGCGGAATAGGATGACTGCTCGCTTTTGACAGAGAAATGAAGAAAAACATGAAATAAAATATCTATTTAGCGTCTTTACAAGAAATATTGATGTTAGCCCTTAAAATTCGCATATTATTTTCAAGAGACGTTGCAATAATTACAATAAAGAAAGGTTATAAAACCTTGTATACAAAAATAAGTACCATTCTGGACTAAGAAAGTCTGACAAGTCATTGACTTACAAATTTATGACTTCTTTATTATCATCCTTATCTTCAAAATTTTCTTCTTTTATAAATACAATGTAGAACCTTAGTTTTTTTGTCGATATCACTGAGCATAAAAATAAACTATTTCATAAGGTTCTAGTCAATCTACGAGTATGACATGATATCATCAAGAAAATGTCGGTTGGAAGTGACACTCGATCAATTGTTAAAATAGTGCAAGGGCGACTCTTTAATTATTTTTTATTCCAATACAGCGTGACTAAGAACCAAGTAAGGATACAACTTTTTCTCTAATTCTCCTTGTTGACATTTTTCTGTGAAGACACTGGCCTACGTTTTAAATCTCACTCCTTTGTGATAATCCTGATTCTATTCTCGTTCGTCAACTAAAATCATAACTGCAAATATAACATAATCATTTTCTCATCTCGAGAGTAAAGCTAATATTCTGAATCTCTATGATTGCGTCACAAGTTGTGCTTAACACTCGAGCATAGGGTAATTTCTCTCTGACAGATGTTTTATATCAACAAATTCGAAAGCATATTGAAAAATTATGCAGAACTACTTTTTGTTGATTTCAAAGCAATTTTTGAAACTATTTTTTGTGTTCTGAAATATAGAATTCAGCGCGAGAAAATTTTTTCATGTCGATATTTACTTCGAAGTGTTTTCAGTTCCATAAAGATTTGATGAAAATTTTACTTCTCATGAGTGTCCTACGTTTCATAAAATCATTGTGTTCATTATTTTCTACAGTCAACAGTGGTAAGTGAACATAGGTAATAGCTAATCAAAGCAAACTTGTGAAAAAAAGTTCAATGAACATCTGCATCATGCAACTCACATGATGATAATATTATCGACTGACTTTTGTAGAGGATTATGAATAAACAAGCTTTTAGTCTTATAACAGCAATACAATAATATAAAACTCGAAATTTGAATTTAACTATTCAATAATTCAGTTCGAAATCCCTTAAAAGCTTCATTTCCACACTAATCTTCAACGGCAATTTTTATTTTCAATTTTCCCTGAATCAATATTGGTTGAAATGATGTTAAAGACTTTATGTGATTATACTACACTTACCACACAATTCTTCCAAATATTCAAATTTTTGAATTCGATCATTCCATCGATCAGTAACAAATATGTTTCCAGAACGATCAAAACTAAAACTAAATGGCTCATCCAATTGATTGGATTGTGAACCACTTTCATAACATCCAACTAAACATCGAAAACCATTCAAGCTTGAACCAACAATGCGGCTATTGCCCAGATCGATAATGAATAAATATTTCTCAGCATCTAATATAATTCCGTTTGGACAACTAAGTGTAATTGTTGGATTTAGTGATCTACTTCCAGCCACTGTGATACCATTTGATTCTCCGGGCTGGAACAACTGAACTCGATCATTATCACAATCTGCTACATATAAATCCAAGTTGACATCAACAAAGATGCCACGAGGACCATAGAGTTGATTCGAGGCTGCTCCTACAATACCTGTTCCAGCAGCAACACGATTTGAAGTCATCAGAGGATCATTTAATGATCGTTTCACTACTTGATTTTCATCATGCATTGAACAGTAGAGAGTATCCTTGATATCGACAAACAAACCATAACATCGTGAACTGACATTCATCACCGTGACAAAGCTATTTGTTTCTGCAATCCATTTCTGCACTCGACCATTCTCATATCCATCATCAGTGTAAATATCACCCTTTGATGTCACGAAGAGAGACCGAGGTCCTGTAAAATTACCAGATATGATCTTTGTTGGATTGACACTCTCTTCATGCCATATCAGAATTGTGTTATTTTCTCGATTAGCAACATAGATTGTATTGTTTATGCTCACAAAAATGGTGAAAGGAATCAAACCAACTATTGATTGATCAGCGAAAGTGATTCCATTGGAATTCCAAATGGCTGTTGGGCAAAACCTTGGTTGGTTGAATGAGAGAGCTAAAAAACGAGAAAAATAAAGGTTTTTTAAAGAAATTTGTATGAGTGAAGTTTCTTTCTTTCAATGTTGAATTGTTTCTTCGCCTTTTCAAAATAAATTTTAATTAAAAAACTGAATATTTTAAAAGTAACTTTGAAGATGTATAGTTGCAGATCTTTCGTTAAAATATTTATTCAAAATTTTCAAAGTTTTTTCTGATAGACATTTGAAGTCATTTTGGAGAAGAAATCCGAGAAAAATAATAAATGTCTTTGTTTTCTCAGCTATTTCTGTTATTTAGAAAATGGCTCGATCTATCTTAAAAAATGTTTTTTTAAATATTTAAAAAATACTGCCATTATACGTTATATTCGCACTGAATGAAAAATTAGATTTCTTATGATTCTCAATAATTCTTCTTTTCCCTCTACAGACATTCTCTCTACAAACTCTCACTCAAAATATATTTTATCTCAAGCAACTTCAAAGGTTCATCATAGATCTCAATATTTCGCCTTTGTTCCATCTAAATAAAACAATTTTTTTGTAACTCTAATATTATTTTACAGAGTTATAAAAATATTAATATACATCACTCTCATTGACAATTATATGTATCAGCTTTACAGATTGCCTTCGACTATCCAATACTTCTCTCGACAATTAGATATTACGATCACTACCGAAAGAACAACTCATCGATCAATCATTTTCATATGAGAAGATTCATTTTATAATATCTGATATTGAAATTTATCTTTCTCAAAGAGAAACAAAAACTGACGAGAGAACCTCACTAACTGTCCAATCGCTTTTTTAATAAAAACCATTGGGATACAGGTTATCAACCATGCTGATTCCGAATATGAGTATGAGAAGTGCCCTTAGGGATTTACAGTATGGCCCTCTAGAAAACCGGTTTCCAAAAATCACATACTTTTTACTATCCAGACAGGCATAATCTTTAAAAAACGCATAAAAACGCTTTCAAACAGCGTAAATACGGTATTTCAATGGCAGACCACAATAAAAACGACCTTTTTATGCGTTTTCATGCGTTTTTTAAAGATTATGCCTGTCTGGATAGTAAAAAGTATGTGATTTTTGGAAACCGGTTTTCTAGAGGGCCATACTGTAAATCCCTAAGGGCACTTCTCATACTCATATCCGGAATCAGCATGTTTGATAACCTGTATCCCAATGGTTTTTATTAAAAAAGCGATTGGACAGTTAGTGAGGTTCCCTCGTGAGTTCATCTTGCAAACAGAAAACTTAGTCGTTAGAGTTGTGGTATTTCGCCTATCTTATGTTTTCTTGAATTCAACATAACGAATGAAATACGAAATCAAATCATAGAATACTTCATATTACAACAATATCGACAAAGATTGTTTTATTAATGAAATGTTCTTTGAGATAAATGAAGTGAAAAAACAAAGGTTTTCATAATATTTCATCAAGGATAGAACTTTTTCTTCTTCTATTTTTTAATCACAAAAAAGATGAAGATTGTTTATCTTATAGGATTGACACATGGCTCTATTTGATCTGAACATTTCATGTCCTTATACTCATTTTTTTACACATTAATCTGATTAGTCTTTCATTTTCAAAGAAAATCTTCCTCAACCATTTTTCTTTTCTTTGGTTTTTCCTATTGAAATATCTTCATTTGCTCCTATTATATATGTAATCACGTCTGTTCATTTCATTCAACTTTACTCCAACTTGCCAGAAGAATCATTTATCAATGAAAATTTTTGAATTCGATGATTTGATTGGTCGGTAACAAACATGTTTCCAGAACGATCGAAACTCAAACTAAATGGACGATACAATTGGTTAGATTGTGAACCCTTTCCATAACATCCAACTAAACATCGAAAACCATTCAAGCCTGATCCAACAATGCGATGATTGTTAAACTCCACAATGAATAAATATTTGTCAGCATCTAATGTAATTCCACTTGGACAGTTAAGTGTAATTGTTGGATTTGGTGATTCACTTCCAGCCACTGTGATCCCATTTGGTTCTGCTGGCTGAAACAGCTGAACCCGATCATTTACACAATCTGCCACATATAAATCGAAGTTTACATCAACAAAGATTCCATGAGGACCATGAAGTTCATGTGAGGCTGATCCTTCAATACCTGTCCCTGCAGCAATACGATTCGAAGCCATCATAGCATCATTTAATGATCTCTTCACTACTTGATGATCCCAAAATACTGAGCAGTAAAGAGTATTATTGATATCGACAAACAAACTATTACATTGTGAACTGACATTCATCACCGTGACAAAGCTATTTGTTTCTGCAATCCATCTCTCTACTCGGCCATTCTTAATACCATTATCAATATAAATATCACCATTTGATGTCACGAAGAGAGAAAAGGGTTGTATAAAATTGCCAGAAATGATCTTTGTTGGATTGACACTCTCTTCATGCCATATTAGAATTGTGTTATTTTCTCGATTAGCGACATAGATTGTGTTGTTTGTGTTCACAAAAATGGCGAAAGGATTCGAACCAACTACCGATTGATTAGCAATGGTAATTCCATTGGAATTCCAAATGGCTCTTGGACAAAATCTTCGTTGATTGAATGAAAGTGCTAAAGAACGAGAAAAATAGTAAGAATATTAGAGGAAGATTATAAAGAAAATCAAATTATTAATTTATGTTTTTTTCTCAAAAAATTCATTGAGACTTATTTTGAAAGGATTTGCATTTTCATTGAAAACATAAAGTACTGAAATGATTTTATAGAAATTAATTGAAATTTGAAGAAAAATCTCTTATTTATCTTTGGTTAAATAAGTATTCAAAGAAATTATTTGAAAAAAATATTTTGAAAGAAAGAAAGAGTTTTGAGATAAAAATAAAATGAAAATATTTTTGTTTTTTTTAAAATTCTGATCAAATGAAACAAGAATATTCAAAATCGATCTGAAATGTTTGAATTTTATTTATCAAATTATTCAAAGAACAAAGTCGATTTGCTTTGAATTTTGTTCAAATGATGATTAGATTTAATCAAACTTTTCTATCTACGTTTTTTTCGTCTCTTCTTATTTCGACTTGAATATTTTGAGAAAAATTTCAGTAATCATCGATTTCTTGAGGGTGTGGGTGTGTGGGTGTCGATGTGAATGTGAGATAAGAACGAGGCTCTCACCCACACCAGAAATTATACTCCAACTTCACTCCAACTCCAAGGAGAAAATGTGTCAACTCCAGAGTTAACTCTAATTTTATAGCAGTTTAAGAGTAAAACGCAACGCTCTAGACAGGTGTAGTGTCTAATTGAGTTAGGCTGGATCTAGACGAGGTCATAATCATCGCCTTTAAATATATAACAGAAATTTCACGCAATTCCTTCCAAATTCTATACTCTATGACTTGACTCTCGTCTGTTCTACATCAATTCTAATGAATAATAATATTTATGCAATGGTTGATCTTCGTTATTTGATAAATAAAAGTATTTACCTGATGTTTCATTGTTGAGAATAAACAAAAGAATAATGATAAATACGTAGATATTCAACATCATTCAACAAGAGTTTTTGTTTTGATAAATTAGTTAAGTAATAAAATAATCGTCTTCTTCTCCTACTTTGTCTTCGATGAAAATAAAATGACACTCGTTGTAGATTTTCTCTCTAGTTATATCTCTCTCTTTTTTTCTCTTCTGCACTTATTCCAACAAAACAAAGAGAAAAAATGGTGTTGCAGAGAAGGTTTAGTCGTACACAAGATGAAAAATTGATTTCAGATTTGATTTATGAATCAAATTTACCATTTTGTTTGACATTTTCCGATGAGTTTTATGCTCTTCAGAAGCACACAATAAAATTTAAAGTTGAAATAATCATTTTCTTTTTTGATTGTATAGAAAAAAACTTTGATTTAAATAAAGAAGAACGTGATGAAGAGAAAGAAAAATTGATAAAAATCTGCATTAATTATCGGACGTGTTTTAATTGAAAATAAGATATCAACTATCATCGTCAATAAATAATTGACGTCAATGAATAAGTCATGGTTAGTCTGATGTCTTTTTCTGTTTGACTCTGTTAAATAATCTGCTTTGTCAGGATCCATTTTTAATCACGTTCTTTGTTTCTCTATGCGCAATAAGTATTTTAGAAAAAAAGTACTTTTTTTTGAGTATTTTGATCTGTTTTAGAATAAAAACTTATCAGATATATAAAATGCAGAATTGTTCATCGCGATACGATATATTTTTCTAAGAGATATCACAAAAAAATGCATGAATTAACTCTAATTTCAATATTTGTAATGACAACACTCTGAAAAAGGGGCAGATCTTATCAATTAGTAGCAATAGTTGTATTCAAACACAATCACAGTTGTGAAATTCAATTCAGTTATAATATCATGTCAACCTTAAAATTAATTTGAATAATATTTCAAATGAACAAATATCAGACAATGAAAGTATTAGTAAATAAGCGAACTGATCTTATGATAGGTGTGGGTGTGGGTATTATTTTACATTCATATCCACACCCTGGAAACTATCTCATACAGTAATTCTGAAATATTAAGCAGGTTTGTATTCTATTTTGTCTTTAGTTCGACATATTTTCTGATCACTTTCGATTTATAAATGATATTTTTAGAAGTAAAAGCTACACTAACATACAATTTATTAAACAAGAAGCTGAAACTTGATATAAGAACTTTTTTAAAAAACAACACTTTCGAAATTTGTGAAATTTCGCCTTGATACTTCCATCTATAGTTCAAAATCAAGGCTGATAAACGAAGATATGTGCATGCGAAGGTGGATGGACATAAAGAATAAATTTTCATCTCCACTCCAAGTATTCTTCATTTGTCAACATATCAGAAATAGTTTTGTCTTTTGCCGATACTATTCCAACAAATTAGAGAAATTTGAGAATAATGAAGAAATATTGATTATGGATGGCGTTTGTCGTCGCCATCGTTTGAGTGATTCTTGAAACGTTTTTCTGTACAATTTCGAAGGAAGAACAAAAACAATAAAGATAAGTATCGATGGAGTAAATGAAATGAAATAACCAAAAATAAATAATAATCGATGGTTCGATGGATTGACACATTCTGATAACATTGACATTATCAGACGAGGTAAGGACAGAATCAGAAGAATAATTGGACTGATTAATAGTTGTTTGTGTTCGCTAAATTGATTATAAACATGTTCTGTTAAAGTTTGTCTTCTCTGAGCTGTTGATCGTTGTCGGGCTGATCCAAATATGATGAATAAAGCAGAACAAAGATTAACAATACATGGAGCGACAAGATGAAAAAACAGAATGATTGTATTGTATTGTTGAACAGAAGGAGAATAACGAGTTACACACCATCTATTGATCTCCGCTGCTTTCGTTTGTGTCTTTACTTCATGTAATTCTCGATGTATAGGTTCGTGAATGATCGAAATCATGACACACAATGGTAAGATGAGAACTGTCCATTGAGCAATACATTGACTTTTGTGTTTATTAAAGTTAACTCCTCTGAAAACGAGAATCGCTCTTTCGATAGCTACACAAGCATTGAGCCAAGCATCTACATATAAACAGAGTTTGAGAAGAGGTTCGATCGATACACAACCTCCTCGAACAACAGAAACATGAATTGATAGATCCATTTGAGTGAGAACAACAAACCAAAACTTTACTGTAAACAAGCTGATCGTAAGAAAAGAAGTAATTGATGATGCCAAGAGATAAATGCCACATCCAACTTGTCGAAGATCTTTATTTTGAAATGTTAATAGAGATAAAATACTATTAATCAAACCTCCTACAAACATAATCATCGTTGAAGCGGCATGGATTTTCACTAATATTGTTTGATCAGTCAATGTCATGTTTGGTCGAATTTCGTCACGTAAAATATCATCGAGAGTTACACCAATACTTTTTTTGTAGAACTGACATTTTTGGCCGATGAAACAAGTAGTCAGAATTTGAGCTAAATAGAGAAAGAGATGAGCTCAATCTTACTCTATTTAATAAAGCTACGTCGGCGTAGATTTGTGAGGACTAATAGCCTATCAAAGTCATTTGTCTATACATGGTATGTTGTGTTGAGATTAGATTTCTACATTCCTATTTTTATCTGATTGTAAGAAAGCTATTCGATTTCAAAAGGAGGAATTCCGATGTAATACTATTTTTGGACAATTCTCTGTTAATGATTTACAAATAATACAAAATACTTACCGTAAGGATCAAGAGTGATATTATTTGGACCAGATGTTAGAAGAGAAAATGTTCCTGTCTTATTGGGAGACGATGTTGTCACCACTAATATATATTTAGTGTCACTGTGAAGATAAACGATAAGATTAAAATCTTCATAACTACAACTTCGATAATTTTGTGAGAGTAAATTCTCGAAAGGATTCAATGGATTAAAATCATCTTTGTAAATATAACCATATGTATCCATAGTGCTATCACTACTCAGAGCATAGTATGCATTTTCCACTACATTCACTCGTATAGTTTCATAGTAATAATTTGATTTTCGACAATCTCGAGAATATGTTTGACTATTCGTAGTCAACTCTGATGAATAATTCGATTGTACAGCTGACAGATATGGTTTTCGCATGGCTGATGGCGAACCTACATGATGAAAACAAATATAGCAATCGAGATTCGTGATAGATCTTGGTTGACTCAGAGAAAGAGGAATCGTCTAGATGTAAGAAGAAAATTGATCATCATAAGTCGTCTCTTATACATCTTGAGTATCGAAAGGCATGTCGACGCTGAGCCTAATTTTCTGAAGAGACAACTCTTTATAATATCATTCTCAATGAAATAATTAAGTCGTAAATGGAGAGTGAGAATAGAATCTAGAAACATTTTTCTGTACTCGAAACCTTGATAATGTATGTTATGAATGAGTTTGAAATAAGTTCTTTATTTCAAAAATGGATAATGTCCCAACGTTTTAGACAGGAAAAATTGTTTATTTACAGTCTAATTCTGCTACTCTTGTAATTTATTCGAAAATTGAAGTACGTAAAGATATTTTAGATCTACACAAAGTACAATTAACAGAAAGCAAACTTTTTTTTATTTCATGAGCACGTGCAGGAATTCATACCAATTTGTATACTATTCACATCATAATAGTGATCGATTGATCTGATTCTATTTACAATATTCTGTTATTTAATGGATATGATGTAGCTGTTTGTGTGAAGCTTTCTCTTTATAACACAAATGTTATCTTACAAAACGATTTACTCATGTTATCCTTGACATGTATTCATTTAATAGTTGTAGTGCAAACACTTACTAATATTCTTGAGATCAACATTCTCTGGGCCAGATACAAAGATTGAGAATTCACCTGTTACCTTGGAGAAAAATGCGGACACAACCAATATATATTTAATACTACTCTCAAGAGCAATTGTGAATCTAAATTGATCTTGATCGCAGCTATCATCATTGTCTGAGAGTCGATTTTCAAATGGATTGGATGGATTGAAATATTCATTGTAAATCGAACCGTATGTGTCCATACCGCTTTTGCTGAAGAAAGTGTAAAGACCACTTCTACGAACATTCACTTGTATCGCTTCATAGTAAGAACTTAACCCTGCACACTGAGGGAAATACGTTGAACTGTTCGTTGTCAATTTTGATACATAAGTTGTTTGAACAACTGATGAAGTATTCACTAACGAAAAAGAAAATCGATTCAATTTTGTATAATAAGGAAATAAGTGTAAACAATTTGAAATATTATTTTCTCTCTCTCGGATACATTTACCAAAAGCGACTGGAAGTTATATGAACCTTAGTCTCTATTGAACAGAACTATCTATGTATCATTTTATAGATTGAGTTTATCTTTATTTTCTACCGATCATGAATATGTGCACTTGATTATCCATTAAAATACTATAGATACTCACAAATACGATTGAAATCGATATAATTTGGACCAGATACTTGGATCGAAACATTTCCTGTTAAATTCCGAGAAGATGTTGTTATAACGACAACATATATCATGTTGGCTTGAAGAGCAGCTGTGATTTTAAATTGACCTTGATTATCAGAGTCTCTACTATGGCTCAGCACATTTTTGGATACATCGAATGGATTGAAGTTATTCGTGTAGATATAAGCGTCCATGATCTTCATCTCGCTGTTGATTAAAAAAGCATAATATCCAGTTACAGTTACGTTCATTTGTATCGCTCCGTAATAGGAACCTAACTCGGAACATTCTTGAAAATAAATTGAACTATTTGGTGTCAACAATGATAAATACATTGATTTTATTTTTGATGAGTTATCTATTGAATGAAAAAAATCAATGAGTATTTATATTTAGAATAGAGAAAACAAATGATTGAGTAATTTAATTGATAGTTATTGACATTCAGTCTTAACAGATTAAAACATTCTAGCAGACAATTAATTCTTTAGTTATATTTTTTTCGATAAAGTGTGCCTTCAACATATAGGTAAAGACGGAACCTTTTCCACCTTACTGACTTCGACTCAAATCTCACTCTTTTGCACGAATATTTTTTGTAAATTTCAAAGCTATTTGTGAAACTTTTATTGTATTCTGCAGTATTGAATTGAATGCAAGAAGTTTTTTCTTCTCATGAAGAGAGTTATGAATAAACAAGCTTTTAGTTTTATAACAACAGTACAGTAATTTTCTCTGAATAAGTATTGATTAAAACGATGTAGGAGACTTTATTCAATCATTCTAAACTTACCACATGATTCTTCCAAATATTCAAATTTTTGGATTCGAGAATTTGATGTATCAGTAATAAACATGTTCCCCGAGCGATCAAAACTAAAACTAAGTGGACTATTCAATTGATTGGATTGTGAACCCATTCCATAACATCCAACTAAACATTGAAATCCATTCAAGCTTGAACCAACAATGCGATGATTGTTATTATCCATAATGAATAAATATTTCTCAGCATCTAATATTAATGCAGTGGGATAGTAAAGTTCGATTGTTGGTTTTAGTGATTCACTTCCAGCCGCTGTAATACCATTTGATTCTCCCGGCTGAAACAACTGAATCCGATCATTTCCACAATCTGCTACATATAAATCAAAATTTACATCGACAAAAATTCCACCAGGACCATCGAGTTCATTTGAGGCTGATCCTTCAATACCTGTTCCAGCAGCAACACGATTTGAAGTCATTAGAGGATCATTTAATGATCTCTTCACTACCTGATCTTCCAAATACATTGAACAGTAAAGAGTATCATAGATATCGACAAACAAACCATCACATCGTGAACTGACATTCATCACCGTCACAAAGGTATTTGTTTCTATTATCCATCTCTCTACTCGACCATTCTTAAAACCATCATCAATATAAATATCACCGTTTGATGTCACAAAGAGAGAAGATGGGTCTATAAAACTACCAGAAATGATCTTTATTGGATCAACACTTTCTTCATGCCATATTAGAATTGTGCTATTTTCTCGATTAGCGATATAGATTGTGTTATTTGTGTTCACAAAAATGGCATAAGGATCCGAACCAACTATCGATTGATCAGCGAAAGTAATTCCATCAGAATTCCAAATGGCTGCTGGACAAAATTTTGGTTGATTGAATGAAAGAGCTAAAAAACGAGAAAATAATCGAAAGAATATTAGAGAAGAAATGTAATAGAAATGAATCTCACTCTATTCTTGGATCCTCTAAATTATTCTTTTACTCACCCGCAGCCTCAAGACATCTATAACGCTACTCAATACTCGTGAAAAGCGTAAATTTATGAAAGCCATCGAGATTATGACAGATGCTGTCAGTCTAACGAATAAGACCGTTTGTGCACTGATTGATCTTTGATATGTGATAAATAAAAGTATTTACCAGATATTTCATTGCTGAGAATAAACAGTAGGATGTTAATGAATACGTGAATATTCCACATCATTTAAGTTTAAGATTTCTTTGATAAATCAGCCAACTGAGAAGATAATCTTTTTTATCTTCGGTGAAAACAAAATGATATTCATTATGAGTGTTCTCTCTAGCTATATCTCTCTTTCTCTCTCGTTCATTTCATCTAACATAACACAAAGAGAAAAAATAATGTTCTAGAGAAGGTTTAGTCGTACATAAGATAAAAAATTGATTTCAGATTTGATTTATGAATCAAATTTACCATTTTAATTGACATTTTTAGATGAATTTCATTCTCTTTGGAAACATAGAGTGAAATTTAAATTCGAATTGATCACTTTTTTTGACTTTATAGAATATCTGCATTAATCATCGGACGTGTTTTCAGTGAAAACAAGATATCAACTATCATCGTCAATAAATGATAGACGTCAATGAATAAGTCATGATTAGTCTGATATCTTTTTTTATTTGACTCTGTTAAATAATCTGCTTTGTCAGAACTTACTTTAAATCACGTTCTTTATTTCTCTATGCGCAATAAGTACTTTTGAGAAAAAGTACATTTTTTTGAGTATTTCGATTTTTGTTTCAATATTTTGCTATCGTAGAAAAGACTAATCCTTTCAATAATGATAGGTAGATTTTATTCATATCTGATATCGAAATAATATTTTGATAATAATTTATATTAAAAACAATAAATTCGACTTTAATCATGAAGATGATCGGTATCATCAGAATAATACCAGAGTTTGAGAAATAATTCAAATGCCTTTGGTTGATTTTTTTCCGTATATAGAGGCTATTTTGTAGGTCTTATACAGAATAACCGAAGAAAAAAAAAAGACCGAACTAATAGTTAATAATATTATTTTCTTTAACCGAGTAAATCAATGCATAACTCATAACTTGAAAATCTAATCAAAAATAGAAAAATATATTTAGTTTTTCTGAAATTTATGCATAAACAATACTGATCAATGTGAAGAGGGTGTAGATTTAAATAGATGTGGTTACTAGTTGATACTCACATTTGACATTCATAAATGATATATAATTCAGTACCTAAAAGTATTTCAGATTTCATTGCGATATTTTGATGAATAAATAACGAATGTATGTTTCATTAATATCTGTAAAGTTCATATTTTCAACCAATAACTATATTGATTAATTTTCTTTCTGTCAATGTAATTATAACAGTATGGTAATGCGTTTAAATATCGACATTGACACATGTTTAAGGAACGAAAAAATAAAAAAATTATTAATACATATTTATTGCAAAAGTTTGCCTACATAGGTGACAATATAATATATCATATTAATTTATATTTTGATGTTTATCTCATATTTTTCATAGCATAGTTTTCGTATTTTTATCGTAGTTTGGTTTTGTCAATTTGAGCACAAATTTTCTTATTTTCTGCCTTTTTCTTAACATATATTTCTGTACAAATGCTCTCAGTATGAAGTACTATTGAGATGGCTGTGATTCCAGTCATATATATATTGTGATGCGTCAGTAACAGTTGTTAGCATCAATTCAAGACCTGTCATCATTCGTATAACACGTATTACGGTTTGTAAATCATCATAGAAAGTTCTTATAATTTATTATTTTGAATAATTACTAATCATGAATATATGACTAAATATAATATTATTTTCGTAAGAAAAGAGAACAAAAATCAGGCACTAGTACATGATAAGAAAAGCTTTTAAAGATTATGTCTCAGTTTTTGATATCATGACCATTTCCATTCGTTTCTTTTTAGCCTTTTGTTCTTGCATAAACTTGTGTACACCAATAAATATAACACTTAATAAAATCAATGCACTTCCAAGTAAAATCCATAAATTAGATTTATTCTTTGTAAATAAATTTTGTAGAAGAACAGCAAAGATAATATCTGATGCTGCAACAATTGTAATAATAGACGGTGGTTCACGACTTAAAGCACGAATTCCACAGATTACTCCAAATATTTGTATTAGACTAATTAGTCCAGCTATCCAATATTTCCATTGAAAGATTGTTAACGTAAAGAATGTTACATCATTTAGAAGAAAATATTTATACAATTGATTAAATATCAGACATACGAGAATGGCAAAAGATTGTTGTAGAACTAAAGCACTTGATTTAATTTTTAAAGTAATCAATTGTTTGAGAATTAGAGTGCTAAATGAAAATACAATGCCTGTCATTAGTGCAAGAGAAGTACCAATTGTTCGATCATTAAAATAATACATATTGTGTATATTTGTTTCATTTAGTATTACTCTTGTTATATTTGGAGTAATCTCTACTACTCTGTTTTGTTTAAAAATAAATGTGGGTTGTGCTACGAAAACAACACCAATAAATGTAAAACAAACAGATAAAAGAATCATCATTGTCGATTTCTCTTTATATAGAAGTATACCAAAGACTACTGTCCACATTAAACGTGTAAAAACGAGTGTTGTAAAATCAGGAAAAGGAAGATAACGAAGACCAATAAAATATCCGAGAAACAGAGAACAACTTAGAATACATAAAATAAATTGTAACCATTTTTCTTTTAATGATCCTATCCACACTGTATAGTCATGATAGATAACGAAGATTATACATAGAAGAATCTGTACTATAATACGTATGATAACTGCATCGAGTAAATCAATTTGTAATTCTTTAATAATGAATGTAGGTGTAACGTAGAAAAAAGATCCTAAAATACCGTATAAAATACCAGACACAGAAGATAATTTCGATACAGCTACTGTTTCACCATCATCATTATCATCTTCTTCTGTTGCTATTAATAACAGAGCTGGTTCTGCCAATGTGAGTATAGATGAACTACGTCGAAGTTTGATAATATTATCATTGTCAATAGTAGAGGAAGATACTAACAGATGTTCTTGATTGTCATTGTTCTGTTCTGTTATATTCATATCGATGTCTAATAAACTGAATTTTTTTCAGTAGAAAAGGTAAAAGTGAAGAATATATATTTCTTACTTGTATAATTACATATTCAGAAAGGTGTGATGAAAATAATAACAACATGAGTTTGAATGAGAAAAGAAACAATCAACCTTGAAGAAAAAAAGAAAATTGATTGCCATCTGAATTGCTCTCAACGTGTACAAAAGTTAGTGAGAATATGGAAGAATTTTTGTTTCAATATCGGCCAGGAAACAACTCGAGAAAAATAACATTTCTATCAATTTAGAGAAAGTTCAGCAATTGTCACAGATCATTTGATAAAAAATATATATTCTCACTCATCTTACTTTTAACAAAATATGAATGACGATTAGCGGGTACCGTTTTCTATGATTTTACACTAATTACAATATATGTTTATCTATCATCTGTATGAAACAGCACAACAAACAAGTAAATAATGACTAATTCTTTCTATTCTATCCAACAGAAATAATGTATATAATAAGTTTTTTTTTATTAATGATTAATGTAAATATTGATATAATAAAAAAAACAAATTTTTTCTAGTCTCTGTTTAGCTGCGCGCGTATTGTTCTAGAGACTCTCGAGTCTAAATCTATGAATTTGATTTTTTTTCTGTTTTAAAAAATGTCCATGCCTGAAGACCCGCTAATGCATTCACTTGTTTTTTTTCTATTATTTTCATTGTATCAAATTCTACAGTGATCGCCCAAACATTTATTTGGATTTGTTGTAGATCACTTTGTTGAATCAAAAATAATATTTGACGAGTTGATTCATCAAAGAGTGCTTGAACAGATTGAACAAACCATCCAAATGGTGTTTTCAAAAGAGATGCTTCATTATGAAGTTTACCTGTATAAGGATTTATATAGATCATCATAGTATCTGTAAAAATCGTTCCATGTTTCCATGTTACAAGTACAAGTTTTGTCTTCATATCATAAGTCATGGTATAAGGTTCAACGAATTCTGGTAATTTCTGAAATTCAGTAACGATATCTTGTTTTTTTCCAACAAGATTCAAATCCATTTTCATATAATATGAATCGTAATGTTGACCAGCAGATACTATTCGAATTTCTACAATCCAGTTCTCATCTGGATTAAATACAGAACAACCTTGACAAGCAAAACCATATTGTGTTCCATTTTGTCGTGTATATTCTTGTATAACTTCTAATGTCGTTGTATTATATTCTTCCATGATATATGTAGGTGTATACACATCACGTAAACCAAAAAGACGTTGACGATGTGAATCATAATAAAGATAATAAAATGTTCCAGTTTTTAAATACCAGGAGCTTTGCGCATAAGTTTTCTTTTGTAAATCATATTTTAACAGAAGCAAACGTGATATTTCAGCGTGACATTGTAAAGGCATAAATATTGTTGAATATGTATTATTCATAACAGCAACAGGACCTGGTTCAAAACAAAAAACATCTGTTGTATTATCCGAAACAACAGAAAATGAAAAATTTCCATAGAATTCAAATGTTGTTGATTGAGGATCATAAGTATTGATATCTCCATAATATGGAGGCCTATTAGATATATATATATAAGAGAAATATGAAAAAAGAATATACATATATATTTTGGTTTCTATACCCTGAATATCCTGAACATGGTGCGATAGCATAATATACAATTGATGAGGATAAAGTAATAGTTTGAAAAAATAGAAGAGTAAACAAAACCAACATCATGTAGAATTGATGCATGTTACTCGAACAAAATGATGATATTCTTTTTTTATTTTACTTTATATGTCTTATCATTAGAAAAGATAACATCTTATTTTTATTTGACTATATGTTCTTATCTCGCTACCTAAAGATTCAATTTTTGCTATTAAAAACAACTATGTTGTTTTGTTCTTCCTAAATATTTCGAAGATGTGAGTCAGACATGCAGAAAATGGGGAAATTGGTTTAGAAAGAAAAAGGTGCAGGCCATCTAAAGTAAAAAAGCTTTTGTTAGCACAATCCAATATCCTTTATTTTTGTCTTTATTGCTACAATATAAAATTACTACTGCTATTTGATGAATCAATTATCATACATTTAATAGTATACAATTGCTCACATAAATAATAGTCTATTTTTATTCTATTAATGTTCGGGTATGGACTTCATATTTAAACTACCTAACATTCCCACTGGTATTCTCGACACAGTAAAACGAAAGATATGAGTAAATGACGATGAGAGTATTATTTTTATCTCTCATCTTTCTCTTCTATACTCACTTTCAACGACATTGATGATCTTTTATAGACTCTAAGTATTAACAACAACAACAGCAACATTATATTTATTAAAACTCACAGTAATATAAAATTTATTCATTGATATGGAACTAAAACAAATTATTGGATGTATATGTATATCTTATAAACTTGAGAATATATAGAGATTGTCAGAATATGTGATTAGAAGAAATAAAAATGTTTAAAAGTTGTAAATAAATATTAAACGATTATTATAAGTGAAGAATGAAAAGGAAAAAAGCTTTGAATAGATATCAATCAATCATGATCGTAAGATCAAATATAACGTAAAACACGAGTAAAGAATCATTCAACAAAATACTACTTTGAGTGTGAGTGTGGATGATGATGAGTAGGTGTATGAGAGTGAGTAAGAGTATGAGAGTGAGTAGAAGTATGAGGGCGTTTATGATGGGGATGAGCGGAAAGAGTATGGGCCCGATGTGGGTGAGTATGTATAGATTTGGATACGTGATGTTTACGCAATCGACAGTGTTTTGTACATTCGTCAGTCTCACACTCACACACCGCAGCCACATCCTGATCCAGAGCCTCATAATAAATTGATTCAGGAGATGCAGAATGCCTGTTTATTCGATCAATTAATTCTTTTGTTTTGATTTGAATACCTTCTTCTGAATCATCTTTGAAATGAATATATAAGAGTTTTGATGTTATCAATCCTAGCCAACTAGACGGCCTCCAGTCTTTTTTCTCAGCAATTATACATGCAATAATTCGTTTACGTTGTCTTTCTGCGTATGTTAATTCGAGTCGACAATTCTCAGATTCTTGATATTCAGGTGTCATGAAACAACATACGATTGCAGCATTTTCTACTCCCTCTGCCATGCTAAAGAGAAAAATAATGAAATTAAAATGATAAATATAATATTCTGAGGAACATAAGCTTTCTTGCTGCAGCTCATACCTCATGTAAATATCATCTTTCATGCCTCCTTGTACATCAAACCAAACTGGAATGTCTTTGTCTTTGAGAATATCATATACTCTGGAAACGATCTTTTGACTTTTCCAATTATAAGATAGCATGACATGTTTTCCATCAGTAAAAGCCATAGGTATCGTTGTAATTATTGTAGTTGAATAAAGTAGAAATACGCTGGGAAAGAACTGAAAACGAAAACATTTGTGAAGATTTTTCTAACTATTTTCAAATATATGTTCACTCGTTGTCGTTACTCGTCATTATATTTTAATTTTAGTCTTGAACTTACGCACCATATAATCACACTATCTCAATCTATTATTTAAAAGTAACACATTAATTTCAGTCAACGTTGAATGAAATAGTACTATACTAACTAAGAAAAAAATCTAGTGACACAACGAATATATTGCATCAGAATATTTACTTACTGAATAATTAAATGCAAGTGAGATTGTGCAACTGATGTAGGTTAAAAGAAAAAGAAAAACACGAGGAAAAACAGCATAGCAAAAAATACAAAATAAAAGTCGATAGGTCATGCCGGTTTCTTTTTCTCTTTTTCATCTTTCTTTCAAATATTTTTTTGCTCTGTTTTGTACAAAACAAAATAACTGTTGTATCTTTTTTGGCTTGAGAAGCAGAATGAAAAAGAACGACTGAAAGAGTTTGATAGGAAGAGAAAGAAAAGCTATTATTAACAAAAGAAATTAAATGACTCAAGAATATGGGTGTGGGTGTATGTATAACTAAGTATTTAGTTATTCATATCTATACTCACACCCACCCTTTATCAATCTTGGCTTTTTGTATCTGCTTCAAACTCAAAGTATTGAGAAAGCAATAAGGACTAAATGGATCTAAATGTGTTTTTAACGGGGTGTGGATGAAAATGGATATTGGTAAAGAAAAAATGAACTCATATCTTCGCGCCCTGTATCTTCTGGCAGGAAAATTAAGATCGTCTAGTATACCTCCATTCGATTATTTGTAGAAATGAGAACGTCAAAAAACTTTTCCAGCATCTACACTATGTGAATCGTCTTTATTACGTTTGTCTATTTTATTGAAACACATCATAAGTATGGTCAAATTCAATTACTATCGAGTAAAATATAATCTTTTATTATCATGTCTTAAATTTGGAATAGGCAGATATAAATCTAGTCATGGTTTACCTAATATGATATCAATCAAACCATGTCGAGATAACTCAGTATCGATTATTGATCCCTCAACGTTTCGTAAAAACCCAGCTAATTACAACTTCTTTTAAGAAAAAAAGAGAAATACAACGTTTTCCTATGCGGTTTTTACTTCCCAACGAACACTGAAATACTCTATCTAC